TGTGCACGATGGCTTTCTTTTGTCTCCATGAAAATGTGGAATTGGATGCATGCTTGGCAGGTTGCTACTGCTTCCCCCGTGGCTTGCAATATATGTCGATGAGCAACAACTCAGTTACCATTTTATGGTACTTTAGAAGCAATTTTGTATAAAAGTTATATGGCTCAAATATCTAATGAAAAACACACACGACGCGTGTGGCGCGTGCGCACGCACATACAAGCCACACGCGCAAGCACACACACAAGCCACACACCCAGGTACGTGCACATGCACAGGCCACACGTGCGCGCGCACGCACACACAAGAGCCACACGCCTACACACGCAAGCGCACACGCACGCGCACACATCTTTAATTCAACCAGTGTGTTGTGTTTTCACTTGCTAGAATTCAATAGTTAAACAAGGCAAAGATGGGGGAGAAGGGGTGCAAACTAAAGATGGCAATGGGCCCGATCCCCCATTCTCCCGCGGGGAATTTCCCTATTAGGGTATGGGGCCATTTGATCCCCCTTGGGGATCGTTCTATTATCAGGGACTCCTCGAGGTGGAACCAGGTCTGTTGCTTCACGATGAACGCCTCGACCACCTGACGGAACGCCTCTCCATCGTCCATCCCTAGCTCCACCGGCGCCACCGCAGTCGTTGCCACTATCGTTGCCGCCACTTGCCGTTCTCCAACTTGGTCGCCGCAGCTCCGGCAACACTGCCCTCATCGTGCTCGTACGGCCTGCTGTGCCGCCGCGGGTCTTCTCCGACATGGTCCGCAATGGGTGCTGGGTGCACACCATCTTCACGTGCATCGCCTCCCTGTCCTCAAACACCTCCTCCGGCAGCGCCACCTCCTCCCCGGGAGGCTCCACCCTGGTCCCCTTCCCCAATCCTCGCTTCCTTGCTCTACAACAACGCAGTTACCATTTTATGGTACTTCAGAAGCTATTTTGCATAAAGTTATATGGCTCAAATATCTATTGGGAAACACACACGCGCACGCGTGGCGTGTGCGCGCACGCAGGCAAGCACGCCCACAAGCCACACACCCACGCACACGCGCATATGCACATGCACAGGCCACACACGCACACAGGAGCCACACACCGACACACACGCATGCGCACACGCGCTCGCACGCATCATTAATTCAACCAGTGTAGTGTGTTTTCACTTGCTATAATTGAATAGTTAAACAAGGCGAAGATGGGGGAGAAGGGGCGCAAACTAAAGATGGCAATGGGCCCGATCCCCGATTCCCCGTGGGGAATTCCCCTACTAGGGGATAGGGACGGGGCCATTTGATCCCCCATGAGGAGTGGGCGATGATCAAGGACTCCTCGTAGTGCAACCAGGTCTACTGCTTCGCAATGAACGCCTCGACCGCCTGCAGGAACACCTCTCCGTCGTCCATCCCCAGCTCCACCGGCGCGCGCCATTGTCGCTGCTGCCGACAGCCGTTGCTGCCACTTGCCATTCTCTAACTTGGCTCGCCGCAGCTCCGGTGAAGCCACCCTCATTGTGCTCGTATGGCCTGCTGCGGCTCTACAAGTCTTCTCTGATATGGTCCGCTAGGGGGCTAGGCACGCACCGTCTTCATGTGCACTACCTCATTGTCCTCGAACTCCTCTTTTGGCGGCGCCACCTCCTCCCCGGAGGGCTCAGCCCTGGTCCCCATCCCCAATCCTCGCTTCCCCGCCCCACAACAACTCAGTTACCATTTTATGGTACTTCAAAAGCTATTTTGCATAAAAGTTATATGGCTCAAATGTCTAATGGGAAACACACACGCGCACACGGTGTGTGTGCGCGCGCACAAAAGCCACACGCACAAGCACACCCACGCACACGCACAGGCCACATGCGCGCGCCCGCACACACTAGAGCCACACACCGGCACACGCACACGCACATGGGTACACACACATCTTTAATTCAACCGGTGTGGTGTGTTTTCACTTGCTAGAATTCAATAGTTAAACAAGGTGAAGATGGGGGAGAAGGGGTGCAAACTAAAGATGGCACTGGGCCCGATCCTCGATTCCCCATGGGGAATACCCCTATTAGGGGATGGGGCCATTTGATCCCCCATTTGGATCGAGCGATGATCAGGGACTCCTCGCGGTGGAACCAGGTCTGCTGCTTCGTGATGAACGCCTTAACCGCCTGCCGGAAGGCCACTATGTCGTCCATCTCTAGCTCCACCAGTGCCGCCTTTGCCGCTGCCGCTTCCGCTGACCGCCGTTGCTGTCTCCTACCGTTCTCCGATTTGGGTCGTCGTAGCTCCGGCGACGCCGCCCTCGTCGTGCTCGTACAACCTGCTGTGCTGCCATAGGTCTTCTCCAACATGGTCCGTCGTGGGGGGCTGGGCGCGCACCATGTTCACGTGCACCGCCTCCTTTTCCTCAAAGACGTCCTCTGGCTATGCCGCCTCCTCGTCGGAGGGCTCCGCCCTGGTCCCCATCCTGAATCCTCACTTCCCTGCCCCGCTACGATGTGTACGAGAGATGAACCAGAGAGCATACCACTAGACGTCCATAGCTCCAGGAACATCTAAAGGCTTCATCTCGATTGCGGGCACCCTTGCGTTGATGTATTCTTCCTTTGCAGGTCTAGTCGGTTAGGTTTGTGGGCACCCTTGCGTCCAGAGCATACCACCAGACGTCCATATTCTCCCTGACGCCTTTCTTTCTATTCTGCTGTCGTTTAGGTTCCTAACCACTTCCTCTGTGGTTTTGCAACCGACACTATATAGGTTCTCCCGTAGCTGCATTGTGTAAGCCATTCTTTCGGCTCTTCTTCTTAATGAAATACGTGTGAAGTCATGTTCCCTAAAAAACACTAGTATCCTAAGTATTGGCAGGCCCCATGGGGATTCAAGACCAAGTGGGTCATGCACGAATTCTGCCTCGAGAGAAAATGTAGACACAAGACACTCAGTCTACTTGAGGAACGTTACTTATATAGATATGATATGTATACTTGTGCTGAAAAATATTTTACAATTTATTATGTGTCAATAAACTTTATGTGCAATTTTTTTTGTTTTATATATGTGTAGGCTGTACAGCGGGACGACGACAGAGTTCATCTCGTTCTCCACGGTGTGGGACTCAATCACGACCGTCAGCACGCACCAGATCGTGAGGCAGTCCCCGTCGAGGTACGGCGAAACCATGCTCTTCGGCAGCAAAAGCTCTAGTTATTTCGTGGCAGTTTTGTTGGTTGCAAACTCATTAATAAGTAGCTCGTATAGTGAGAGATCATACTGTGTGTGTGAAACGGGCATTAATTTTATATTGCAAATATAAAAGGACTGTTATGTGTAATACACACCCATGCATGCATACACGCATAATGCGTGCAGGCGCACACACACACACTTCTTTTTCACTTAACAAAAAAATATAATGGAACGATACACAACTTATTTCTTACTCCCTCCATCCAAAAAAACTTATGTTTTAGGATTTTAGGACAGATTATGTTACTACTGTAGCTACTACCATAGTCGAGGAGGAACACTCAGGGACAGGCACAACAGCCGCACAAGCACATGACTGACCGTAGATAACTGAACACTGACTAAGAATCAGTATCACTCACTTGTCACCGGCACTGCTTACCACTCCAAATGCAGGACACCTTGTCTAGAATCTCCTTCATCACCAATGGAAAGCTTGCAATGAGATGATTGAATCCATCGGTTTCCATGATTGGGCCAAGCATGTTCGGCGAGGCCATAAACCACTACTACAGAAAACTTTACCGAGGCAGGCAAAAACGATTAACCGAGGAGGGCATCGCAACCGCCTCGGACGAAAGGTCACGGTAAATAACACCTTTTCCAAGGCGATTGGATGCCCGCCTCGGTAAATCGAATAAAAAACAAAAAAAGGAAAACCCGTGGATAAGCCCGGCGAGCCCATCCACGGGCCCGCCGAGCCCATCCACAGGCCGTCGCCGCCGTTGCTCGCTGGATCGGAGCGTTGTTGTCGTCGTTGTCGGATCCGCCACTAGGGGGGCGCCACTCGCGAAAGCCGCCACCGCGCGCGGAGATGACCGGATCCAGGAGCAGGGGGGCGGATCTGGGCCACCCACGAGGCCGCTCCGCCCCGCCGCGCCACGCCGCACCAGAGAGAGAGTGGAGGGAGGAAGAGAGGGGTGGAGTGAGAGGTGAGGGAGAGGAAGCCCCGGTGAGGAACGCCGGCCGCCCGCGCGCCTCTATTGGGTGAGGGAAAGAGTGGAAGAAAGAGATGGATCGGGTGAGGGAGAGAGTGAAAGACGGCTGAGGGAGGGGGAAATGAGTGAGTGAACCCTAACTCTAAGAGCTGCGCTCTAAATACCGAAGAGCGGAAAGTCAGGACACATCTATGGGCACGGAACAACTGGCCGTCCACAGTGAATGTGACGTCCGCCCCTTCGCCATCGCTCAGCATCTCCCGAAGTCCTGGTGCAGTCTAGACAACGGGACGATGACAGAGTTCATCTCGTTCTCCACAGTGCGGGACTCGATCACGGCCGTCAGCACGCACCTGATCGTGAGGCGATCCCTGTCAAGGTATGGCAAGCCCTGCTCTTCGGCAGCAAAAGTTCTAGTTATTTCGTGGTAGTTTTGTTGGTTGCAAACTTAGTAAGTAGCTCGTACATTGAGAGACCATACTGTTTGTGTTGTGAAACGGACATTGATTTTATATTTCAAAAGGGACTGTTATGTGTGATACACACACAGGCACGCACACACGCACAGTGCGTGCACGCGCGCACACACTTCTTTTTCACTTAACAAAAAAATAATGGAAGGACATGTAACGTATTTCTTACTCCCTCCGTCCAAAAAAAACTTATGTTTTAGGATTTTAAGATGGATTAGGTTACTACAGCACCTACTACGATAGCCATATCTCTTCTAGAATGTGATACTAAAAACTCCACATGATAGACAATGTTCAATGTCTACCAATCCCTATAAATAGGTCTCAATGTCCTCTTCGAATACCATCCACCATGGAACGCAATAGTTACCCCACCAAGGATACGAGATTTAGGCAGAGTGACAATGAAATTTCCCCTTTGCACGAAGCGGTAAGGGGTAAAACAACCATGCCATCTCTTTCTAGCAGTGCACCTAATGACCATGATTACTCCTTCTAGAGCTACGACAATAATAGTGAAGCAATACCACACCAACTACACTCAGTTTCTACTCCCGTACCACCAAATAGCATCATTTCATCAACAGGGCTGGAGCAAAGCTCGGAGAATGAGCAAGGGCTTATGCACATGTTTCTGACAACTCCAATAAGTGAGGACGCACCAAAGAAGGCTTTGTTCATGGAGCCCCAGTCAATAGAATCTTTGCTCCAAGGAGACCCTATGGCTATTCTCCAAACCCACCTTGACATTGCTGGAGTTTCTGATCGTGGTCCAATCTTCCATGACCCTGCCTTGCATGTTCCCAAGGTTTTGTCCCTATCATTTTCAACCTTTTATCATTGTACTTAAATTATGGAACTCTACAATCTCTCACATCAATCTACATGTAGGAGGGGGTGCACAAAACTCTTGGATCTTCATCCTCATCCCATGATGACCTTTATGGGAAAATACCATATGTCAAACCAATATTCTTTAATCAACCCCCCATGTCCTCACTTGTTCGAAGAGAGCAGCATGTGCCAAGTGGTTTTCCAAGCGGCAATTCTTATGATGCCATCAAAGAGGTTGTGTCACGACTCAGTCTTGACACACTTGAAATCATCAGCATCATGATCATCATTGCCATTGAAATCCAAATTCTAGAAACTAGACTACGTTGGAATCTACATTCAGTCTGCTCACAGTTGATTTGACGGATAGTCCGCAAGGACCACCGGACTATCCGCCACTCCATCTGCACTGTCAGTTAAACCTCGACACTATCTATCAGATGGTCCGACAGAATAGCGGACTATCCGGTATACCAACCCATGCAGCAGATGTGAGGTGTCACTTATGTTTTAGGATTTTAGGATAGATTATGTTACTACAGCACCTACTACCACAGTCGAGGAGGACCACTCGGGAGAGGCACAACAGCAGCACAAGCACCAAGCAAGCCGCGCAGGCCCAAAACTAAGAATATCCATATAGCCAGCCCAGAATGGGTCTAGACTATGTAATAGAAGCTGATAGCAGGCCCAGAATGAGCTCCTACTCCATCGATCAATCAAACACTAGATCTGATTGGCCTAACGCGGATCCCATCGGTGAGCTACCGCCTGGATCTATGATTCCATAATTCCCTTCCCGCCTGCTTGGAGAGTTCATAAATTCTGAAGCAAATTCCGCCCCACCCACACTACATCTTCCTGCAACGCTGCTTAGGAGCTAGCCATAGATCCTAACACAAAATCATCCTCGAGGAGATTCAAAAGTGTTTCTCCAAGAACAACCTCAAGTGGGATGCACACTTCCAAGACTTCGAGCATGACCATGGCTCCTGCGTCATCTCCCTTGAAGTCGCTGCCAATGTGTTTGACAAATGGCGCCCCCAGATTGAGGCCTCCATAGACGACACCAAGTTGGACGTTGGCAAGCTAGCCCACCAATGGGGATCCCTCTATGCTCGAGCACACCACCGCTGACCCTGGTCTCATCTTGCAATCCAAGTCGGCGTCCGAGTGCTCAGCTCGCCTGCTTCAAATTCTGCCGTCAATGGCCCAATTGGGCACCTCATAGAAAATTCTTCCTGGGACACTAGCTTTGCCATAGACTTTGCCCATGTCTTGGGAAGGGGTGCATTCATTTCTACCTCCCCTGCTCCTATTAATATGTCATTTGGTCAGTTTGCTCTAGAGCCTCATTTTGATAGATCAGGTTCTTCCCTCGGCAATTACAGTAGCCAAATTCCTAAGCTCTATTTCCCCCCTTTCGATGGCAAGAATCCCAAGCTCTAGATGTGAAGATTAGTTTGAACTGTATCGCGTAGAACATCCAATTTGGATTTTTGTTGCGTTTGTGCTCTTCTAAGGACTAGCTACATGTTCATGGTAGTTGGTTGAATTCCATATGAAAACTTCCACCTGGGCTCAATTTGGTAGTGTGGTGCTTGAGCTCTTAGGTTGTGATCGCCCAGAGCTCTTGATCCGACAATTGTGTCATGTTTAAACAATCTGGATCCATGTCTGAGTATATGCTGAGAAATTCACTATGTTGGTTGATTAGTTAGTTGCTTATGGTCACAAATTTGATCCCTTGTTTTACACCATGCGCTTTATTGATGGCTTAAGTGATGATATTTGCCCTATTGTTCTTGTTCAATGATTGTCTTCCATGGATATTGCTTGCACTTGGGCCTTGTTGTAGGAGGAGGTAGTTGTGCCCATGCAGTGGTTGTGAATCTGTAGGCCTGATATCATGTTTTATCATAAGCAGATGTCTCGAGGCGATTTCCACTTCCCCCGCCACCACGTCAAGATATATACGCTGCCAATGTCATCCACTGAAGGCGCTGATGCTCATCATGGCACTTCATCTAAGACATATGCGGCTACGAAATACTCACCTCATCGTTCATAATGTCGTGCTAGAGGGCTATGTGACTGTTCCTGAGACATGGTCACATGGGCACAACTGTTCCACCACTATGTAGTTGCATGCCATGGAAGAGTTGTTGGATCTGTTCAGTTTTCTCCCTACAGATTCTGTGATAGAGCACTCAGATGTTCCTATCATTCATAGAGTTTTTGATGCCCAATTATTCTTGACTATTTCAAATGGCTCCTTTGCTTCCATTAATGGGTTTCTACCAATGGCCAATGAGCATCTCTTGGTTTAGGTTTGCAGCCTCTCAGCTAACACTGTTCTAGAAGCACCTGCCCTAGCCTTGCCTCTAGAAATTTAAGCTATACTTCAGGAGTTTGCTTCTGTATTGGCACTGGTTAGTGGATTGCCACCCATCCATCATTATGATCATGCTATCCCACTGATTCTTGGTCCTCAACCTATCTACATAAGACCATATCAGTACACTCCGGATCTCTAAGATGAAATCGAAATTCAAGTTCATGACATTCTCACCAAGAAGCTTATCCAGCCTACCACTAGCTTGTTCTCATCACCAATGCTTCTAGTCAAGAAGAAGGATGGTTCATGGCGACCATTTGTTGATTATAGACACCTAAATGCCATCACTGTCCACAACAAGTTCCATCTACCAATTTTGGATGAGCTAATGGATATGAACTGTCATGAGCTAGTTGGTTTTCCTCCTTGGACCTCAACTCCTGATTCCATCAAATCCGCCTTAGGACTGGTGAAGAATTCAAAACTACTTTTTAAACATAGTTTGGTCACTTCGAGTTCAAGGTCATGCCATTTGGCTTGTGTGGCGGTCCAAGGACATTTCAGAGTGCTATGAACTCTACATTACTACCATTTCTACAAGGGTGTGTCCTTGTATTTTTGGACAACATATTATTTTATGGCCGCACCTACAATGACCTTGTTGGCCACTTTTTTTTATGGGCCCCTACTTTTAGTTGTTGGCTCAGGATCAGTGGCAAGTCAGGCATAGCAACTTCGCACAACACCAATTGTCCTACTTGGGACATATCATTAGTGAGGTAGGAGTTTCTATTGACCCCAATAAGATTCAGGCCATTACCTTTCAGCCCCAGCCAACAAATGTCAAGGACCTCCGTGACTTCCTCGGACTTGCTAGCTATTACCGGAGATTCATCAGCCAATTTGCAGTCTTAGCTAAATTGTTGACAGAGCTTCTTAATTAAGAATCGCACTTTGTCCATTTGGACCAACGTCTATCAGTAGGCTTTTGACTTTTTGAAGATAGCGCTCAGCTCCTCCATAGTTCTGGCCATGTATGACTTCACTAAGACTTTCTATGTTGAATCTAGTGCTTGTGATCATGTAATCGGCGCGTCCTATACGGCAGGGTCACCCCCTGGCATACATCATCAAGCCATTGGGTCCTAAAACGGTAGGTTTCTCCACTTATAGAAACAAGTATTTGGCCATCCTACTTGCCATCTAGCATTAGCGCTCTTACCTTCAATAATATGCAAAGTTTTATGGATCAATGCAACTTGATCCACCTTTCTGATCAGTGCATCCATATACATTAGCATCAGAAGGTTTTCACATAGCTTTTGGGTCTCTAATACAAGATTGTATATAAACATGGTTCTACCGATTGAGTTGCTGATGTTATATCTTGTCGTCCACACTAGCCTCATTTGTTGTTGCTATTGTCTTGTACGCTGTCTTGGACCACAACCATTCTTGCTAGTTATCCCCATGATCCTGACACTTAAGCAATCATGTCCAAGCTTTCTATGTCCCCAGATTTAGTGAACAATTTCTCCCTGTCAGACGCCATCCTATGCTATAAGTCTAGAATCTAGTTGGGAAATAACAATTCACTGTAGCAGTCCATCTTGGCAGCATTGCATGAAGCACCCTGTTGGTGGTCATTCTGGATTTGTAGTCACCTATTGCCATGTCAAGCAACTCTTTGCCTAGAAAGGGTTGAAAATGCCAATCCAACAAACACAAAACTAAATGTGTGTTTGATGTGGGGGATCCTGTGTTGCTCAAGATTCAACCTATGTGCAGTTCTCTATGGCTCCTAGTGCCAATCACAAGCCATCTTTCAAGTTCTTCGGACCTTTCTAGGTGCTCAAGAAAATGGGTCCAGTGGCTTACAAGCTTGATCTCTTGGCTTCATCAACTATCCCCCTTGTGTTTCATGTCTCCTAGTTGAAGCATGTTGCTCCGCAATCAGCCTAGATCACCCTCTGCTCCTAACCCTAACAATTTAGTTTCCTAAACAAGTGGTAGCCAAGCACGACATTCGTTGCACAGTGTTTCCAGTCTTGTAGGCCCTCATCAAGTGGTCTAGGTGTCTTGAGTCACCAGCGTCCTAGGAGGCTTCATCGCCATCAATCAACACTTTCCATTTGCCCCTGCTTGGGGCAAGCAGGCCATCAGTGGAATTCCTGCGCTCTTTATCTCTCTTTGTTCTGCCCTCCACTACTCTTGATGCCAATCTGAATTCTCTGCTAGCTTCTCCTAACTTAACAGATTAGTACTCAACGGAAATTACACATGTACCCCTTGTTTATTGAAGGTGAACCATGTTAATTAAGGAATAAGCCCTTTATTAAAAGGAATGCATAGAGACATGCAGATTGCAATCTCAAGATGATACGGGCCCAATCTATTATTCAAGAGCTAAACTGTTTAGTTTTCTAGTTTTCTGAATCCTAGAATAACAAGTTTTATAAGATGGAGGGAGTATGCACTAATGAATTATTTTTTTACCCAATTACTACATTTGACTAGCATTCTAGCCTTTCTTTAACCTAGGCGGTATCAAATTTTGGTAGCATTCCAAGTACTGAATGCTAGATACGAAAATCCATGTAATGGTGGTACCTATTGGTACCTCTTAAAGGACTACAAAAGTGCAAAAGGACTAAGATGTCTCCCATATGGGGGTGAATAGATGTTTTCTACAAAATTCTTTGGGACTCAAAATGCAGTAGATTGTCAATCTTTGGAAGCTCTGGATAGAATCCTAAGCTTCCACACTTCTGGAAGTAGGTTTAGAAGTTACATAGAAATAAGAAACAACGCAATTTGTTGAGTTCTGAGCAATGTGGATCAAATCCATAAGTTACCAGGTACCTTTGGGTTGTTTCTAATCTATCCCACAAGTCATGTGTGCTTAGAACCTTTTCAATCAAGTAGATTGAACAATATGCACAAAGCAAAAGCTAGAAAGAAAAAAACTGAAATGACACAAGAATTTGTTTCCTGAAGTTCAGCTCCTTCCAAGAAGGACCTACGTCTTCATTGAGATAGACATGAGTGGCCACCAAAGGGCAATCTCTATCTAGGCCCATTTCAACCACTTCCCTCACTTCACTATTGGACTTCTTCCCTTGTGGAGGCGAAGTCAAAGCCTTCACAAACTTTCCCATGGCTCATCATAAGCACAGGAGCTCGCTAGGCGACGTCTAGCCGACTAGAAGGCTTCACCTTCAAGAGTAACAAATTCTTCACAAATTACATGACAAAGCCCACAAGTGCTGAAAGATTTGGAATGCTATCTCATGCTCGCAAACTCCTAATTTCTCACCCTCTCAACCCAACTCACAAGATCTCACTTAGAATTCTCACAAAGAAGTTGGGGACATCTAGAGAGTCTTTTGCATTAATTCTAGGTGCATCTAGGCAGCTACAACCCCCTGAAATGAGGGGGAGGGGTATAAATACCCCCACATTAATGAGCTAGACACATGTTGACCTATTCATATTGCATCCCTCTTAGTGGTACCACATACCTATACTCAAGATAAAAAGAATACTCCCTCCGTCCCAGAAAGAAAGTCGTTATGGGATACATGCAGGTCAAACTTTCTTAACTTTGACTAAGTTTGTAGAAAATGCATGCAACATTTATATCCCCAAATAAGTTTATTATGAAAGTATATTCAACGATCTATCTTATAATACTAATTATGTATTATAAATATTAATATTCTTTTAAATATAATTGGTCAAAGTCAAAAAGTGTTGACTTCTCGAGAAGCGAGAACGACTTCTATTTTGGGACATAGGGAGTATGTCTATTTCACTCACTTGAATCATCAATATCTTCATATGCCATTTCTTCTCAGTATATCTTCATTAGGGTTTGCAACCATCTTTGTCTCATTCTTCTTGAGCAACACAACCTTGGGCTTCTAACTTGAACCATTTCAACACGTGTGAGTTCAATTCATGGCTTCAAATCACTTATGGTACAACAATGATTTGATACTTCACTAAGAATGAGACAAAGATTTTGTGGCTAGATAGCAAGAAAAAAGGCACTTTAGTGAAGTATCAAATATGGGTCATTTTAGAATTCTACTCGGCAAAACTTTAGAATTCTATCCGGCCAAATTTTTTTGAACTTCTCCAACCAAATATATAATAGGTTTTGTAGCTAAGTAGAAGCTTAATACTTTGTTATTTACTTGCCTCTTACACCCTTGTATCCAGCTGACTGTGTTGTCTAAATTTCTAAAAAAACAATATATGTACCTTGCAATGTGATGGATGTGACTTGGTAAGTGATGTAGCTTGTTGATCCTTTTTGTTTTTCTAAAAATGTTTCTTTTTAATTTTGTAGGCATATATCATGCATGCTAGCCATTAACTAACCGCATCTTAGCACTATGGATGCACAGAACATAAACTCCCAAGTTTTATACAGAATTACTCAAACGCAAGTGCCTGGTATTTTGTTTACCTATCAGTTGATGCTCCCGCGCCTACGCCCACGTGCCTGCGACCCGCCGGACAGGAAGAAGACAGCGGCAACGACGAAGACGGAGACCTCGCCTGGGCATTAGGGTTCCGGCATCTCCCGCTCCTGTTATCTCCCTCTCTTCTTCTCCATCTCCGACGAGCATAGAAGGGGGTTTGGGGGAGGAAGGCCGGCCAGGGACAGCGGCAGGGCGATTTAGGGGCTCGGGCTGCAGTGGAGGCGGCAGGCCAGGTTAGGGCGGGGGAGCACCATCGCCGGAGCTCGCCGCGGAAGAAGGAGGGGGAGGGGAAGAAGGCGGCAGCCACAGGCACGCTAGGGTTTCACCGGAGCTCCGCGGCCACCCCCGACGAAACCCTAGCGTGCCGCGGTAGGGCGGTGGGTAGCGGCGGGGGTGAGGACAAGGAGGAGGGGTCGCCAGTGAGGCAAGCGAGGGTGGGACGCGAGGGCGAGGACGACGAAGAGGCGGCGGGGGCGAGGACAAGGAGGAGGGGTCGCCAGTGAGGCAAGCGAGGGTGGGACACGAGGGCGAGGACGAGGAGGAGGCGCGAGGGCGAGGAGGCGGCGGGGGCGAGGACGAGGAGGGGTGCGAGGAGGAAGGACACCCTTTTCTATAACTTTTCTTGATTTTTTTTGAAGTTTTGTGACATTCCAAGATAGTGGCTGGGGGATGGGAAGTTCTACTCAAGGAAATAAAATGCATCTAAAATCCCTCCAGGGCTTCCCTTTCCACTAGGTTTATTACCCCCCCCCACCCACCATCCAAACTAGCCCTTTTGCTTTCACATTCTCCTCCCCTATCATCATCCCCTTGGTTTCAATGGACATAAAGATACCATAGCCCTTCCGCTAGATCTTCCAATAGCAGCATGGGAAGATAGATCTATTTGCACGTTCTACATGAGTATATTCTTGATACGAGTTACATAGATAATAATGCAAATTGTAGCACTACAAGGAATTGAGGATCGATTTTGGCCAACAAATAAACCTAAAATGTACACTGAGAGGCTTCTCAATTTAGGCTTAAATTGAAACCCCATTAGAATTGAGAACAAATCATGTTGCTTCATTAGACTAACACACGATCCTGAAACATGTTAATCAGCCGTAGGGACCAACGATATCATCAATTAGCCAATGTGTTTCACATCCAGAGGATCAATGTATTGCAGTCTGTCACAGATTGTACATCTTGGCAACAGCGACAGCAACAATTTACAGTTTCAATTGGGACACAAGATGTAAATAGGCGTGAGCACGTGACAGATGTTTAAGTACAGTAACAAGATTTCATTTTGTTGATGCAAAGTGCCATCTTATTTGTTACCTGAATTGCAGGTTATTCACAGAAAACACCGGGAGCCATGCTTGATCTGTTACAACACAAGCTTTATGCAAATGCGTGCAAAAGCTCAGCTAGATCTTCGTAGGGGTATGTAATGTGAAATACACAAGGCACTTTGAATAGGAAGCTAACTATATTCACAGCACAGACCAACAAATATTGGCATTCATAATCCTTGCCTCATCAAGCTATCAGTCTGATCTGCATGGAAATGAATCAAGATTCCTGGGGAGCTTCAAACCTTGATGGAGTATCAATTCCCATCATACACATGAGTCCTGATATCAAGATGATAAGAAGCACTATTCCCTGAACATAGTAGACAGGTGTGAGACAATATTGCAAGGATACAAGGTATATTGATTTGTGAAGTATGGTCTCACACATGAGCCTACATTTCAGATTAGAGCTAACCACGAATGAAACAGAGTACAGGTAACAACTTACAACAAAAGTTCCCTCCAGAAGAGTTTATTTGACTAGGCACTCTCCGTCACATTTGCCCAGGCCAGCCTTAGTAGTATTGTTCTTCCCTTCAAGAATCCTGCCTAATGGCAGGTTGGAAGGGCTTTCCAGTAAACCAGATGGTTGAGAGGCATAAAGAATGGTATATTTAGCTCCAGACTTCTTCAGCATGGCAATCAGGTCAGAAAGCAACTCTCCTGCAGTGACATTAGTACCAAATTAACTTTCAGCTGTACAGTTGAAAGTGGAAGAATAATGTAAGAAGTCCTATCCTAACCTTCTGTTTTTGCAGGGTATAAATCCTTGAAACCACCACTGCAGAAGACAATTAGATCACTCTGTCCACTTGGGTTGTTTCTCATTCGTGACGTCACTAGGTCCTTGAATGTAAATGCTGTCAATATACGAAACAGATATAGCATAGAAGAACTAAAAAATTATGTAATAACTTACATGGATAGAATCCATGCCATGATGTTTATTCAGATCTTTACCAGTTACAGTGCACGTGTCTCTGTAGGAGATACGATTTCTTTCAAAGCCATTGTTACAATTCTCAGCAAAGCCAGTCAGAAATGAATTTTCCAATTTCTCATCATCTGATGTGGAAACATAGGGGTATGCGATGGAAAACTCTGAACTTTTGAAGGAGACCTGGTAGGCATAACGATTATAAGCAATTAGGAATTTGATGCTTCAGTTAAACCATAACTGAGGGAAAAAAGAGTGCTAATGGTTACCTTCAGTGTATCTGCTAACGCTGGATCAATTTGTGTATCTTTAGATATGTCTGACGAATGTAGCTAAGGGGGAAAAACAAGTCAATGGTCAGTGAAAACAGAAAACATGACTATCTTAGTAATAACCTCACCATATATTGATTAAAAGGTGGAGAATTTGCTAGTTTTATGGCTTCGCGGAATCCACAAACAATATTTATCAGCACTCTGCTATTCTGCATATGTTGGAAAGGTTTGGGTTCCCGGAAAGATGGTTGTCATGGACTCGTGCTATCCTATCATCTGGCTTGTCTGCGGTGCTTCTTAATGGTGTCCCTGGAAAGTTCTTCAAATGCAAAAGGGGCATCTGACAAGGTGATCCGTTGTCACCCCTGCTCTTCGTCCTCGCAGCAGAATTGCTCCAAATACTGATGAACAAGGCCGCCAGCATGGGCCTAGTGCGCGCCCCTATCCCACATGATGAAGATCGAGTCCCAATAATTCAGTACGCAGATGACACTCTACTCATCCTCCAAGCAGATGCAAACCAACTATTCTTCCTAAAGGTGTTATGAACGACGTATAGGAATATAAAGTAAAGAATCAAAGCCACAGAGGAGACACACGATTTAACGTGGAAAACCCCTCCGATGTGAAGGGGAAAAACCACGGACACCAGCCAGCAACAATCTCACTATCTCAAGAGTTTTGGGTTACACGCCTATGGCGGCTTACAAGAGAATCAAGTCTCCACGAAACCCTAGCAAGGGTGTATATACGCTCCGGCCCAAGCCTCCGGCGACGGGCCTCCGCTCCGCTCCGTCAGAAGCCCGGCCTATATCTTGGAGTGAATTTGGAACAACTCCAACAAACTCCACCTTGAGACAAATTCATCTTGTATCATAAATCAACCCTTCATCCTGAACATAACAAAGATAGAAAACCACTGGTGCCAACAATAGTCTCTTGGACTATCCAATTAAACCAACTAAGCTTGAGCACAGCTCAAACTTAGCAACAGGAACATGCTTTGTCATCATATCAGCAGGATTATCATGAGTACTAATCTTGCATACCTTCAGCTTACCTTCTTCAATCACATCACGCACAAAATGATACTTGATATCTATGTGCTTAGTTCTCTCATGGAACATCTGATCTTTAGTGAGGTAAATTGCACTTTGACTGTCACAGTGCAAACTTATGCAAGATTCAACTCCACAAAGCTCAGCGTACAAACCTTTCAGCCAAATTAATTCTTTGCACGCTTCACAAATAGCCATATATTCTGCTTCAGTAGTAGACAAAGCAACAACTGACTGTAAAGTAGCCCTCCAACTCACAGCACAACTGCCAACAGTAAACACATAACCTGTAAGTGATCTTCGCCTGTCCAGATCAGCAGCATAATCAGAATCCACATAGCCAATAAGACCCTTATCAGTTCTTCCAAACTTTAAACAGGAATCTGCTGTGCCTCTGAGGTACCTGAAAATCCACTGAACTGCCCTCCAATGTTCTTTGCCAGGATTAGACATATATCTACTAACAAGACTCATAGCATATGACAAATCTAGACGAGAGTAAACCATGGCATACATCAAAGACCCAACAGCACTAGAATAAGGAACCCTTGACATGTATTCAATCTCTGCATCTATATTAGGACACTGAGCAGCTGACAACTTAAAGTGAGGTGCAATAGGGGTACTAACAGCCTTAGCATTTTGCATGTTGAAACGCTGAAGAACTTTCTTGATATAATTTTGTTGACTAAGAAATAGCAAACCAGATTTTCTGTCTCTACTAATTTCCATACCAAGAATTTTCTTAGCACTACCAAGATCTTTCATATCAAAACCACTACTCAATAGCTTCTTTAACTTAGTGATTTCAATCTTACTCTTGGCAGCAATCAGCATATCATCAACATATAACAGCAAATATATAGGTGATCCATTAACATGCTTGATGTAAACACAGCTATCATACTTAGATCTTTTAAAACTGTGTGCTAACATAAATGAATCAAACCTCTTGTTCCACTGACGAGGGGACTGTTTCAAACCATACAAGGATCTCTTCAACTTGCACACATATTTTTCCTTGCCAGGCACTATGAACCCTTCTGGTTGGTCCATGTATATGTCCTCCTCAAGCTCTCCATGCAAAAACGCAGTCTTCACATCTAACTGCTCAAGCTCAAGATCATGTGAAGCAACAATACTAAGGAAAGTACGAATTGAACTGTGTTTTACCACTGGAGAGAACACATCATTGTAGTCAACACCCGGAATTTGACTGTAGCCTTTAGCAACTAACCTTGCCTTATACTTTGGAGGCTCGCTTGGAGATAAACCCTCCTTTCTCTTGAAGATCCATTTGCAGCTGATGGTCTTCTTATTCTTAGGCAAAGGTACAATCTCCCATGTACTGTTCTTCTCAAGAGACTGCATCTCCTCATGCATAGCAGAAATCCAATTCTCAGTATCACCACAACGAATAGCTTCTTTATAGGTTGCTGGCTCATGAACATTCTCCACCTGTTCAGCACAACTCAAAGCATAGTAAGACAAATTACACTCTTCAATAAGACGCTTAGGAGGTGCAATTGTCCTTTTTGACTTGCGTTGAGCAATAGGTAAATCCTCCTCTAACTGCAAAATAGGAGGAGTTTGCTGAACATCATCATGAGCATCATCCTCAGCAACATCATTATCATGGTCACCATGCTCATCAACAGGCTCCACCTGCACACCTGTATCATCATCAACATGCTCCACCTGCATGCGCATACGCTGCAGCTCTTTTTCTGGAACATGATCTGAGGGCAAACTGTCAGTAAACATCACAGATTCATTGAAAACAACACTTCTGCTCATAAAAGTCTTTCCTGTTTCAGGATTCCACAATTTATAGCCTTTGACTCCCGAACTATAACCAAGGAAAAAACACTTAACAGCTCTAGGCTCTAATTTTCCATTATCAACATGAGCATAAGCAGTGCATCCAAAAACTTTCAACTGTGAATAATCTCCGCTCCAACTATTCTTCCTAAAGGCCCTCCTGAACAGCTATGAAATTTCTTTGGGGCTCAAAGTAAATTTCAGTAAGTCGCAGATGATGCCAAATAATGTAGCGCCTGAGAAGATGCTCCACTTAGCCAACACATTTGGCTGTCAGATAGGTGCTCTGACCTTTACATATTTGGGCTTACCAATGGGGACTACCAAGCCACGGATTGAAGACTTGTCACCGATCATGGACAGAGTAGAACGGAGGCTATCTGCCTGCTCCACGTGGTTGTCCTACTCAGGTAGATTGCAAATGGTCAATTCAGCAATCACTCCTATTGTCACCTACACTTTATGCACTATCAAGGTACCAAAAGGATTCATTGATAATATTGACCGAGCACGCAAGCAATGCCTATGGCGGGGGAATGATGATACTGCAAAAGGAGGTAATCTGGTGGCATGGCCAACTGTTATGAAACCAAAAGAAAAAGGAGGGCTCGGAGTTATTAATTTGAGACTGCAGAATGATGCTCTTCTGCTCAAACAGCTAGACAAGTTCTATAACAAGGTGGATACTCCATGGGTTCACCTGGTATGGAGCAAGTATTATGACGGTAGAGTCCCCCATGAGTACAGGGAACTTGGATCATTCTGGTGGCGTGATGTTATGCGTCTCAATATCATATACAGAGGTACCGCGAGGTGCACCCTCGGTGATGTGGCTCCACAGTTTCCTTCTGGGATGACCTCTGGTTGAACTCGATCCTATCCCTGGAGTATACCAGACTGCACTCGTTTGCAAGACCTGAGCAATGTCTTTGCACTGCCGTTGTCTATCGAGGCGTATGATGAAATGCAGGCCTTACAGAGTCATTTGGAAGGAGTAGGATACGATGATGGTACTGCTGACATGTGGTCACCAACTTGGGGCACAAGGTATACCTCTCGACGTTTTTATTGACATGCCTTCAGTGGTGTGGATGCCCACCCGGTATACAAGATGCTGTGGAAATCTAGCTGCACGCCCTGAGTAAAATTTTTTGCGTGGTTGGTTCTGGTAGATCGACTGAATACAAAAACGATGCTGCGAAGAAGGCACTTAAACATCCAGGATGATGTCCTTTGTGTTATGTGCAACACCGGCATGGAAGAAGACATTGAGCACCTTTTCTTCGATTGCCCATTCGCTGGTCAGTGTTGGAGTTCCATCAACTTCGCATGGGACAGCAGCCTTCCTCTCACAGAAAGATTTGTCAGAGCACGAGACACTCATGGCTAGAGTTTTTCACAGAAGCCTCCCTTATTGCAGCATGGGAACTTTGGAAGCTCCGCAACGACAAGATTTTTCACAGGGGAACTCCTAATCCTTCTATTTGGCTAGCCAATTTCAAAAACCAATGTATGCTGCAGTCAGTTAGATTTAGGACTGACCTTAGGTCATCCTTCTGTCATTGTTTAGATGCTTTCAGTTAATTAAGGTTTGTAATCCTCTGTACCCAATATAAATACAAAAGCTCACTGTGGGGATCTCCCCCACAGTTTTTTTGCGTAAAAAAAACAGACAATATTTATCAGAAATATCGACTTTTAATTTTTTGAATCTATGCACAGGCACTGCTTCAGTTCAAAAAAAAAATATTTAATTCAACTGTATTTGCTCAAGATAGTTTCAAGCCAGTAAAATATAGATAGGTATAAAATAAGTACCTTTGAGCCAAGAAAAACAATTGCAACATCAACATTATATTCTTCTGAGCATCCTCCCCTGAACACTAATAATAAAATCACGATATCATGATCCAGGGAACTGATTAAACTTGCAACAGCTGATAATTAGAAGAAGTTGCGTGAGAGCTTAAGTTTCACCAGCGAGGATAGTTACAATGTCTGATAGTGGACCACTTATTTAGCATCATCAGAATGGAATCTGGATGATAAACAGAATGAGGTAAATTCTAGAGTAGTGAGCTGGCATGTGTTTTGCTATAATAATAATTTGAAGGTAAGAAATCTTTTTAATGAGCTAGCAAGTTTGGCTCAAGTAGAATCTAAGTGAACTGATGAGAC